CAGATCAGACGTAGTGTTCCTCCTGTTTTCAGCCTCCAAAGCACTGGGATTACATGCATGTACCACCACACCCAGTCTCAGTCACTGTCTTAATGTACCCCAGGGGTGGGGCTGGCACGGGGCAGGTGGGGGATCAAACCCTAGTTCCTGTGGTAACTGCAGTCCCTGCGTCTGCCTAAGCAGGTGCTTTAATTAGCTATCTGGCCGTAGGCCATCATTTCTTACTTTTTAAAGTAGGTCCTTGGGTTGGGGACATTGCTCAGTGATACAGCACACCCAAAGCCCAGTGCTGAGCCTCAGCGCGCGCACACACACACACACACACACACGTTTTTAAAATTGGTTTCTCGCACAGTACTTTTTCCATTTCCCTTATTATAATTCATATCATGTTATATGACATGACAGCCCTTTGTTGTAAATGGCTTTCATATAAACTACAGTTTCCAGGCAAAGGACCCTGGCTCTCTCTTTCCCATCGTGCCCCAGTGCTGGTTGTGGTCCCTGACACACAGCAGACTCTCACGAATGATTTGCTAGATACAAATGTGAGATTCTTTTTGGAACTGGAGCCTGGTGAGGTGTGTCAGAGTGCTTCAAGGGCGACCTATGAGTCACTTAAACCTCCCACACCATCCAGAGGGACAGTGGGGCTTGTTCCCTGGGAACCACGCCAAGGCTGAGGAAACAGAAGGTCAGGGTAGGCTGGGTGTGACCCAAAAGGTTGCTGGTAAGCAAAACGACTAAGAACTCTGGGTGGATCAGACTGTAGCCAGGAGACAGCAGGGCAGGGCCTTGGTAGCTGGGGTCCAGGAGCACAAGCAGCTCCACACTTCATTTCTTCCACAGAGGGAGTTGGTGAAACACTGACCTCCATGAAATGAGAAGTCATATTCCCCAAAGAGGCTGGCTGAGGCCTGAGGAGTAAGCAGATGAAGTCACTTCTGCTTAGTTTTTTAATTTATTTTATTTTATTTTATTTATGTGTGTGTGTGTGGCCAGCTCAGCCCACCAGGGGGCAGGGCTGGCTGGCATGTGGTGCTGGGGGATTGAACCGTGGTCCCTCTGCTTTGCTAAGCTTGTTCTAAGTAGGTGCTTTAGACCACTGAGCCATCTCACCAGCCCCTCTGCTTAGTTTTTATAGCCATCTCCTTTTCCACACTTGCTCATTCAGAAACTGTTCATCAGGCCTGACAGCATATGCCTGTAATCCCAGTTACTCAGGAGGCTGTGACGGGAGGATCACAAGCTCAAGGCAAGTCTGGGCAACTTATTGTGACCCTATCTAAAAGTGTGGTAGAGTGGCTCAGTGGTCTAGGACCAGAACATCTACTAGGTGTTAAGAAGTTCTGTGTATGGTGTTGTGGCCATAGCAAGAAATAATCCAGGCCCAGATTTTAAGGAGCTCTGGTCCATGAAGGACATGGTTCTATGACTCTGCACGATACAAGGAAGAACAGGTCTCTGCCTCTCCTGAGCAACACATGTCCCCAGAGCCTGGTGCTGAGCAGGAGTTGAAGATTAGGCCTGTCCTGACGGAGTGCAGAGTCTAGAGGGAATGACAAGCCAGGGAAAACAGCTGCCTTAAGGGTGGGAAGTAGATAAAGAGGAGTTCCTTGTGCACCAAAAGAAAGTTGTTGGATCAGGGAAGGGTTTAACACACACTGACCGCCATTTTGAAGGATCTGCAGAACAAAGTGGCCAGCCTGGCTCTGTAAGATGGAGGTGGAGATGGGCTGGGGAGATAACTCAGGGGTCTAAGCACCTGCCTGGCATGTGCAAGGACTCAGGTTTGATCCCCAGTACTGCATATTGGCCCCCCGCCAAGCTGGCCTTTGAAACTGGGCATGGTGCCACCTGCCTGTAATCCCATTGCTGGGGAGGCTGAGACAGGAAGATCACAAGTCTTAGCTGAGTAGCAAGACCCTGTACCAAATAAATAAGATGGAGGTGGAGGACAAGGAGTGGGGACACATGGGAAACACCTATGCCAAGGCCTGGAGATAACAGAATACTACAGTCGTTCAGGGGGGACCCAAAATAGTTCAGTGTGGTGGGGGAACATAGAGGCAAAAAATACTAGGCGGAGTCTAGGTTGGAGGAAGCATTCAGGGTGGAAAGTGGGCTCCCCTGCTGAAGATCAGCCCCATGACCCAGCACTCTGGGTATTCAGCATCTCCAAAATGTCTTGTCCTTTTCTGCCAGTAACAGGATGTCTCTCTCTGGTTTTGTTTTAGAAGATCTCCCCACATGCTCACATCCATCTTGACAGATTAAACACTGACTCATTAGCCAAGTAGAAAAGGCCATAGAAAACACCAGAAAATGGTTTTAAACATAAGCCCAAGAATGGAATGAAAAATAACATCTTTTCCTCCTTACTAAGTAAAGTAAAATAGTACTTTAATTTATTGAAAGTTTGTATTTAGCTACAAGTAATATCAGGCTAACTGTTGGGAGCAGCTGGAGTTGGAAATCCATCATATGTGGGAGGGCAGGACAAGGCCAGAGTGCCTAAAGCAGTCAAGTTACCTCAGCCTTGAGAAAAGTCTCCTGCCTGGTCAATTTCAACTACTGGTCACTAGGCAACCTTGTGTCTCCTGATACTAACTTTGCAAAGGTATAAATAAATGCCCCTACTGTTGTTCTGGAGGTAGTTTACCAGTCAGGCTGACAGACCTCTACCTGAACCTAGCTCTTTTTTTTTTCCTTCAGGAACCAGGGATTGAACTCAGGCCCTTGCCCTTGCCAGGCAAGCGCTTATTCTACTGAACTATCTCCCTGGCCCCTAAACCCAGCTCGTCTCTTATTTTTTCCTCATTCCTGCTGCCATGACACCAAGAAGTGCCTACAGCTAATTTGCTTTTGTGGGATGACTTATTTTTTTATTTTTTTGAGACAGGGTTTCATTATGCAGTTGAACTCACTATTGTAGCCCACGCTGGCCTCAAACTCACTGCGATCCTCTTGCCTCAGCCTCTTAAGTGCTGGGAGTAGAGGCGTGCTTACCACATCTGTTCAACAGATGACTGTATTTATTATTTATTGTTACTATCAGTGCTGGAGATCAAACCAGGGCCTTGCACATGCAAGGAAAGAACTCTACCCAGCCTCTGGGGTGACTTTTTTTTTTTTTTTTTTTTTTGCGGAACCGGGGATTGAACTCAGATCCTTGCCTTTGCCAGTCAAGTGCTTATCCTACTGAGCCATCTCCCCGGCCCCATTGGGGTGACTATTTTTAAATGTGATTTCTCCTTTTTTCCCTTTAGAATAATAAATTTCCACTTACAAATCATGCAAGACCACGGTGGTTTTCCGCAGCCAAAAGTGACTAAGCTACTTTAGTGCTGGGTTTCATTCTCTCTGATGTCAGTTCTGTTGCTTGGCTATTAAGTTTGAAAGGGAAAGTCCAAGCCAGCTAATGTAGCTCACTGGAGGTTGCCCTGGAAAAATAAGCCCTGCTTCGGCCTCACAGCTTTCCTCTCCATCTCCTTCTTTCCTGGGCTGCTTCCCCTTGCTTTCCAAACATGAACTTCCTGAGAACCCCTCATCGCTGAATCCCCTTCCACCCAGGCCCATTTCCCACCTGCTATAATACTGAGCTTGGAGTAAAGGTCTACTTCTGTCCCTTCTCTTTCCTTACCTCCTCTTTGCCACTAAATCAACTGCCTCCAGCAGCGCTGTCTCCTTCCTGTTCCTCACGGTCATGCCTTGCTTGCTGTGGGCCTTGGAGGCTCTGTGCCTCGCCTCCTCAGCACACAGACTGGTCCTCTGTGAGCGGCTTCTGGTCCCCACTCCGTCCCTGTTTCCTCCAGGGCAGCCTCCTCTCCATGCTCCACTTGGGCAGTCTGCTCTGCCCTAGCGCTTTTGCTCACTCTGAGCGGCTCCCGGACCTCTGTCCTGAGCAGACTGCTCGTTCCTTCATGTTCTTCTTCCGGTTGTTACTTTGCTCATCAGTTCTGCAAACTCAGCAGGCCTAATTCATTTCTCAGTTTTATCCAGCACCCAAGTAAGTGTGCGGCAGGAGCCTTAGCTGCAAACAGCTCCGGGTCCAGCTCCACCTCTACTCTGATATTCCGCGAGGCTTTGTAAAAGTCACAGGGACTCCTTGAACCTACTGCTCCTCATAAAAAAACAAGAAAGGAAAAAAAAAAGGGGGGGGGGCTACGACTTACTGAAAATGTACCGCACCAGATACCGTGACCAAGGATTTCTATATAGCACTTCAGTTTCATATCATTTTTTCTGCTTCAGGAAAAAAGAACGCCCAGTAGCAGCGTATTCACGATCGGGAGGTGGTTGGGATTGTAACTCTAGAATCCCTGTGGTTTCTATTACTTTGTAGGGAGCGCCGTGCTCATGCCCTCAGGAGCTGAGCGCAGGCTCAACCCACCGAAGGCGGCCGCCAGCCTCCCGCCGCAAAGCTGCAAGAACCTCACCATCCAGCGCCCGCGGGACCGCCGCACGCCCAGCGCCGGATCGCGCGAGGCCTCTCGGCCAAGAAGCCCCGCCTACCGCTTTCCGCGGAAGGCTCCAGCGCCGTCCCCGATTGGCTAGCGGGAGCGAGGCGGCCCGCGGGGATTGGCTACGTGGCGACGGGCTGACGTGGCGGGGTGTGCGGACACTCCTGGCTGAGCACCCGGCTGCCCCGGCTGCCTCGGCCGCTGTGAGGCGGACCGCGAGGCGCCGGAGGGAGCGCAGCCGCGATGCCGCTGGAACTGGAGCTGTGCCCGGGGCGCTGGGTGGGCGGACAGCACCCATGCTTCATCATCGCCGAAATCGGCCAGAACCACCAGGGCGACCTGGAGGTGGCCAAGCGCTTGATCCGCACCGCCAAGGTGAGGGGCGAGCTCCGGGCAGAGGGGCGCGGCCGCGGGGAGCCCGGAACGCCTCCTCTGCAGGCTCTGCCGCCTGCATGTTCTCCAGCCTCTCCAGTTGCGTGTTCTAAGTCTTTTGAAGCCCAGTGGGCTTAGCTGGATAATCTTGGGCAGGTTTATTAATCTTCTCTAGGCCTTAGTGTTCTTCACTCTGTGTGTGTGTGTGTGTGTGTGTGTGTGTGTGTGTGTGTGTAAGTTTAGAGTAGAATTCGTGTGTTTCAGAATTTTTCACTTTTCTACCATTTGTAGATGGAGTCACATTTGCAAGTTTAGTTACCATGAGTGTATTATACACAAGCTGGTGTACTTGTACAGTAAGTGTTTGCAGTATTGAAAGTAGTTATTTTTAATCTTTTACTTATTTATGTTTTTGGTACAGGGTCTCACCGCGCAGCTCAGACTCGTAGTGATCCTCCTGCCTCGGCCTCCCTAGCACTAGAATTACAGGCGTGCGCCACCACTCCCTATTTCATTGGCCAGCAGGTGGGGATCGGCACCGGTGTGCAGTACCGGGGATCGTAACCGGGTTCTTGTGCTAGCCAGGCAGGCGCTTAGACCGCTGAGCTGTCGACCCAACCCTAAAAGTAGATCTTGTTCAGTTATTTTTGTTATAGTAAAATATATCATGTAACGCAGTATGAACATATAATTAAAAACGTAACTCGGGGGAACTACCCGCTCGGGCCCCCCTCCTGTCCCTCTCTTGGACAGAAGCTTTCTTTCTCTTAATAAGTATTTTCTGCTCATAAAAGAAAAAAAAAAAAAAGTAACTCATTGAACATACATACTTCCCGCTTTCAAATTTTGATATAAATGGAGTATCACTCTCGTTTCTCAGAGCTTTGAAGCTTGGTTTTGCCAGTAGAGAAGCAGTAAAACCTTGAATAAAACCCACCAGCATTACAGTATGCAGCCTAATTGTATTTTATTTTCGTTTGTGGTGCTGGGATCAGACCTAGGACCTTGCATATAGACTAAACAAGTGTTCTATCACTGAGCTAGATACACACAGCCCCATCCCCAGCATTATGGTAAAACGGGGACAGTAAGTTTTCAAAAGCTAGAGTTCACCATAGCATTGAACAAATAATCATTATTTATTTATTTATTTATTTATTTTTGTGGAACCTGGGTTTGAACTCAGGCCCTCGTGCTTGCCAGGAAAGTGCTTATTCTACTGAGCTATCTCCCCAGCCCTAAATAATCATTTTTTAGAAAAAGTTGAAAAAGAAAGGAGCCTATTTTCTCCCCTTACAACCACTGTTAGGTGGAATGCGATAGAACTTGTCTGAGTTCTTAACCAGTTTCTGCTGTTTCACTCTGGTCATCCAACTGTAAGGGTCAGGTTTGCCCCATGGAGACAAGCTTTTTAACTTCTGTAGGTTAAGTCTCCTTCCTGAGATGGAGTTGAGAAGCAAAGGAACCAGAGCCACGTTGTGGGTGAAGCTTTCTTGTCCTCTTGCTGAGGGCCTGGCACAACAGGACCCCAGTCATAATATTATTTTTTTATTTATTTTGTGGTAGTGGGGGTTGAACTCAGGACCCTGCGCTTGTCAGGCAAGCGCTTAGTCTACTGAGCTATCTCCCTGACCCAGGACTCCAGTCATAGTCATAGGCTAGGGTGCCCATCTTGCAACCTTGAAGAAAATGGTCTGCCAGACACAGCGACTGGTCAGCTCACCTGGAGCCTTGAGGTCTGCATCCAGATAATGAAGTCTGTTGCCTAAAGCCAGTCACAGTCTGAATGAATGATGGCTAGCTGTGCCATCTTGTGTTTTTTTAAAGTGGGAGAAGAAATCAGCATCCATGTTTCTGGACTCAAGAAGTTTTCAACCATATGAATGCCTTCATGTCTATAAGGATGGCAGTGAGAAGCCAGGTGTGGTGGCACATGCCTGTAATCCTAGCACTCCAGCGGCTGGGGCAGCAGGATTACTGGGAGTTAGAGACCAGCCTAAGCTACAAATTTAGCTTAAGACCAGCAACTGCATAGTGAGACTCTTGTTTCAATAAGACCAAAAAAAAAAAAAAGTCAATAAGGGTGGGTATGGTGGTACATGCCTGTAATCTCAGCACTTTGGAGGCTGAGGCAGGAGGAGCTCAGCAAGTTCAAGGCCACCCTGGACTATATAGTGAGATGAAGCCCAGTCTGCACTGCATATCCAGATCTGTCTCAAAAGCAAACAAAAAATGGTAGTGAGATAAGATTTTAGAGGGTTTTACCTAATCTTTCTGTTGAGTTTATGGAAAGAGTCCTGGGTGACTGGAGGCAGATTTACAGTACCATTGCAGCTTTTTATAGTCAGACACTCCAGTTCTTATATAATGGCTTTCACTCAGCGGAAGAGTTAGGGTTAAAGGTAAAACCAGAATCTGATTTTCTTTTCCTAACCCTGCTCTAATACTTTTATTCTTTTCTATTGAGTTTGTTATAAAACTTAAAATCTTCACAAAAAAAAAAAAAAAAAAAAAAAAGAGACAGAGAGTTGGCTCAGTAGAATAAGTGCTTTCTTGACAAATGCAAGGGCGTGAGTTCAATCCCCACTTCTGAAAAAAAAAAAAAAA